GGATGAGATGTCTGCTCTGGCAGCCTTGTTGCCACAGAAGGTGTCGCTGCCTGGCACTGGCGCGCTGTTGTGGCAAAACACGAGCCCGCATCAACAGCAGCAGTAGCAGTGGCAGCAGTGGCACTCTGGCAGTGGCAGTGGCAGTTGCAGTTGCAGCAGCAGTAAAATGTCGACATCAGCATTACATGCGAGAATTGCTCGACTGCGGATTTGCAGTTTAATGCCAATGGAACCAGGAACCAGGCAACATACCACCACCCATTCTCGAACCCGAACCCCCCAATCCAATCGACAGGCAATCGGTGACGGAAATATGCTGCGGTGCCATGTGATGCGGTTCTGCCATTCTGTCAACGGCCGCCCCGCCCCGCCCCGCCCCGACTGCTCGCCCCATCACGAGATGCACTCGTGATTAGCTTCAGGGGCGGAAGACGAAGGTGCAAAACCATTTCGTACAGAATTTTGTTGTTATACAGAGCCGCCTTCTTCTGCAGCTTAAAGTCGAAAAGGCTCTACTCTCCCTTCCACCGTTTGATTCCTGAGAAGATAAGCGAATATGCAATGAAAATCGCTTAAATCCCTGTAAAAGAGTACCTAGGGACTATAAAGCCTTCCTTCTACGAAAGGGTACAGTTTTGCACTTCGAAACTCTGTTTTTATGACCCCTAAAACTGGAACTCGTTTCGCGATCCACCAACAAAAACTAAAGTGGAACATAATCTCCGTCCAATATCGAAAATCCTTTAGAGGCTCTTCACTCTGTCATCATCATGATCATCATCATTATAATGCCTCCGTAATTGCTTTGGGGGCCCCCGTAACAACTATTTTGGCTGGAAAACAGATTTCAACTTTTGCGATGCCCCGCGTGTCCACTCAGCGGCAAAAAATAAAAAACAAAATTATACAGGCCCCCTAAAAAGAACAGCAAAAAAAAAGAAACGAAAAAAACTCAACAAGTTTTCCAATAAAATTAAAAGTTTTGGCTGCATGCACAGATTTTTGCAGATTTCATTGAAAGTAGCAAATACAAATACTCGTACTAGCGGAAAATACGAGCAGACTGGAGAGAACAGGGGAAAATAGCCATAGAGACATAAGGCCATAGGGCCATAGGAAAAGGGAAAGAGGGCAGGGGGGCTGTAGGGAAAAGTTTTGATTGCCAATAAGGATTTACAGGTGATAATACAGCATAATCTGGCCACGTTCCACGCTTTCATGCTGCCCCGTTGGCAGGAGCAACATTCTGTTCTGTTCTGTTCTGTTCCGTTATGTTCTGGAAAATAGTACGAGTATCTGCTGTTTTGTATTTACCTTGTGTTCCGCTGCAAGCCGGGAAAAGCGAGGAAAAGCGATCAAAAGCGTAATGCATTAAACTGGGATTCCAACTTTAAAACTCCATTTCAATTGCAGTGAACAAACTTTTCCCACTACGATTTGCATATTTAGCTGGCAGAAAAGTATCTCAAAAACAATATCAGGGGATACGTGGCATTCCCTCTATGCCTGTCCAAAAAGGTGGACAAATTAATTAGTTTTGCTCTCAAAAAACTTAGCTACAGCTGCTGCCAGGAGACGAAGACCCTACCATCCCTTTTCTGCTGTTTTTTTTTTGTTTTTTTTTTTTCTGGCCATCAGCGCCCTGCCAAGTATAATTATTTGAAAAGCCATTGCAGCCTCTGCTGGGATGGAAAAATTCATTTGAAAAATTAAGTTTTCTCACGGACAGCAGCACAGCGTCACACCGTCCGGCCAATGGGGCGTATGAGTGACCTGATTTTAACTTCTGTCTCTGCACTTAATTACAAAATGAGAATGCATCCAGCAGCAGCAGCTCCAGCAGTAAGAGTTGACCGTCGAGCGTAGGACCGTGGACCGTCGACCGTGGACCGTGGATGGGGACAACAACAAAGTCCGCGCAAACAAATTTCAATAATAAAATTCCTTTTGCCGGATAGTTTTGGCGCCGCCAAGGAGCAGGAGAGACGCCAAAGGACGCAGCTGTGCGAATGCCAACTGCGTGATAATTAAAATCAAAGCTTTCGAAAGGGGTCAAGACTTTTGCTGGGACAGGCAACCATTTCCAAATAAAATAGAAATCATTAAAGTGGATTCAATAAGCTGAATATACATCAGGTGCGCCTCTTCTGAAAGAGCTATTTCTCTCCTAAAAGTGTTACAACTCTTCTTAAAATTAAAAAGAAAGAAAAAACAGAATGAAAGAAGTACAAAAACGGCCTGAAAATATGTCCCCGTCTCACCTTTTAACCCATGCCATTCCGATTAAATAGCAGGATTGAACCTCCCCTCAATATCCCATAGGTTTTTGTCGATATTCCATGGAATGCCTTAGCTGCGGTTGCCCCCTGCCCCAGCAACAAAATAAAAAAAAAAACACCGCCCTTTGACTGCTGGCCAGGCGTATCGTACCGGCTGATAGGGACACACAAAAACGCGAACCGAACCTCAATAACCACCGAGTCAGTGTGCCCGGCCAGACCTTCCCCATATATCCATCCATCCATCAGTGACTGGGACAATGTTGCCTTTGTTGGTGGTGTTTGTGCGGCATACGATCAGAATCAGACACCGTTGACGTTTCAACTTTGTGCTAAACTGCGAAAATTGCAAAAAGGGGCTTTTGGCCCCCCCAAAAATATAAGCGAATGCAACCAGTCCGCAACCTACTTTCCCCGCAGACCCCGAAAAAGTCTGCATAAATGCTGGGGAAAAAGTTAAGCTCTCGGTTTTTGTGGGATTATTTGCAAGCGTTCAAAGGATGTCGTTAGTCCTTGTGCGAATCGCAGGCGCAACTTTTACGAAAAACCTACCGCCACTCCACCTCTCTTTTTCTTATTGTATCTCTTTCTCTCTCGTTGCCTCGATGCCTCTGCCTCTGCCTCACTCTTTCTACTATGGTTTTTGTGGCCCTTCTGTGTGCGTTCCCTTAGTTGTCTTTTTTTCGTCCTGCACTTTTTATTGAAGTTGATAAATTGAATCAAAGGTTAACTTTGTGAAAAGTGTAAAATATGATTAACAAGAGAGAGAAATCGAGGGGCAAAAGCGGCTTAAAGCGAGCAATTAAATGGGTGCTAATTTGCCTAAGATTCTGAGATACACCCTGTGCTACAGGCATCTCTTAGATTAACTCAATGTTTCTTGTTTTGGGCAAATTGATTTAGTCAAAAAGTACACAAAACTCTCCAAGATAGCTCCTCCAGAAGAAGCAACAAAATAGAATTCCCTATAATTGCAAAAATAGCATTCCTCTCATTCCCTTCACCTTCCCCTTTCCCTGTCTCTATCTCTTTCACCACACCCATTTCTGTCTCTTTTCAGCTTACATGCTCTTGGCTGAAAGCTGTCAGATGGGGGGAGGCGATGGCTGGCAAGAACAACCAGAAATTTATGGGGCAGCTCTGGAACTTGGAACCAGCTCGGGCACGCCCAATACACTTCAGCAAACATAAATTTATTTATGAGCATGTGTCCGTCCTCCCTTTCTCACACACACACACACACACACACACACACACACACCCACTCATCTGGGGGTATATTCACCCCCTAGCTACCCATGGAGAGAGTCCCTGCCTCACTTCCGCCAAAAGCTTACAAATTGTTTGAGGGCGAATTTTAATTATTCCTCATTGTTTTGATAGGAACGCGTGCTGTTCGTACCCTCGACCCCCCACTCCTCCAGTAGCTGCATTCATTGGAAAGAGGGCCCGACCTCTGAACTCCTTTATTTGGACCTCGCTTTCGTTTGGGTGAGAGGGGCTGTGGGTGACTCCTCTTTAGAAAACTGTGCAGGAAGTTGTGCCTGTCAGTTGTGAATTGTCTCTGAGGTGGCTGGCTCCTTGGACCTTTTGCCATTAATTCCTTATGGTAGAAAACTTATTGGTTGTGGTTCTTTCACTTAATACCAAATTTCTATCTCATTTTAAGATTCAATTAAAACTAACTGTTTTAATCACCTACTAGTTCTTCTGATAACTGTTTTAGGCAGTTTTTTTTAAGTTGATTCGCTCAAAAAAGGTCCCAGAAGGGCACAGACATCGGTTGAAAAAAAAGAAACGAAAGGAGAAGTGATAGAGTGGATGCCTTCTTATGTTTCTTCCGTTTCATCTCTGCCATGATAAGTTTTCTGAGTTTTTTCTTACCAAAAAACTGTTCTTCACTTGGGTATCTGTCAAATCTCTGCCAAATTTTCCATCGTATGGCATTGCAGGACTCCGGCTTCTATCATCAATTGTTGTCGATGGGTAAACAGAGCTCTCACCTACTACTACACCCACAGACGGATAGTTAGATGGACAGACAGGTGGACAGCCAGGCCGACAGAGAGACACATAAATATCTAACGAGTCAGAAATACAATCACAGCTGATGTTTCCTCTGTTGCTGATGTTGTTGTTGTTGCTGCTGTTTGCTGGATTTGTGTATATTTGTTGTAATAATATTAGTTTTTGCATTTGTGTACAGAAGGAGAAGAGCATCTTTTGTTTCAGCTCGTCTTTTGCCGGACCTGAGCTCTGAACAACTCCGGAAGTAAGATTAATGCAATTGGGAAATCCCACATAGAGCAGTTGTTCTTACTGTTTGCACTTGTCCGACCCTGAGCCCCAGCCCCACCCCTGCCTGTGGGGATGGCAGTCAAATATGGGAAATGATATATGTATGTGCATTTATTTGTATGCCAGTATTTCATTAGATGTGTATGTGTATTCGATTTCCCCACATACAAGTGTCGTCTCGTCGAACAGCAGATTTATTAAACAAACACACGAATTGATTGCTATGGAAATTACATAACCAACTACAGAGATACGGATACGGATACGAATATGTGATATGGAACACATATGTAGATATACAACAGGAATGGTAGGATTTAAGACACAGTTTTTGGGACAAGATAAACGAGAGGCTTATGAAAACTTTAGAGAAAGCTATAGTCCTTCATGAGTAATACCAAATATCCATCAAAATTCACTTCCTTAAAGTTCTTTAAAATTCTTTATTTATTTGGAAATCATTTCGTTTGTTTGGCCACTTCATAGGGTCCAAATGCACGCACATGCTCCCGTATCCTGACCGCATTGATGGCAATAAAACCGCCCGCATCCTGCGGCACATATCCGCCATGAACGTCCATCGAAACGAGCTGTTCGTTGTACAGCGAACCGCCAGCCTCCGATGCTTTGCGGGCAATGGCCCGACAATAGCCGGGGGCCAGCTCTATGGTTACTTGACCATTGACCTTCTGCTCGGCCAGCTCAATGCATCGCTGGGCATAGATGGCCTCGGGACTGAACCAGAATCCATTGTAAACATAGTCGGTCATGCGATCGCGCAGAACTTGCTTGGTGCGCAGAACCTCGCGGTCCAGGGCAAACACCTCCAGATCCTGGTGGGCGGTGTAGAGGATGGTGCCACCCGGAGTCTCGTAGACGCCACGGGACTTGAGTCCCACATAGCGATTCTCGACAATGTCGATTCGCCCGATGCCATAGGAGCCTCCCACATCATTGAGGAACTTCAGCATCTCCAGGGGTGTGCGATAGTCGCGCTTGCCAGACAGGTCCTCGACAATGGTGGGCAGACCGTGCTCAAAATGAATGACAACACGGACGGGCTGTCGTGGAGCCTGCACCAATGGATCAACCGTCATCTCGTAGAGACTAGCCGGAGCCACAGTATTGGGGTCCTCCAGCACACCAGACTCGTAGCTAATGTGCAAAATGTTGGCATCGGTGCTCCAGGGAGTGGACGGCTTGGCGCTCACCTCAATGCCATTCGCCTGGGCATAGGCTATCAGATCCTGGCGCCCCTGAAAACGTCTACAGAACTCCACATCGCGCCAGGGAGCGATTATCTGAGAACGTTGAACTGATAGTCAAAAGGTAACCATAGGCATTGATAAGAATGGCTTATCAACCTGCTAGCAGACCCACCTTCAGATCCGGCTTAAGGGCATATGCGCACAGCTCAAAGCGCACCTGATCGTTGCCCTTCCCGGTGGCGCCGTGGGCCAGGTACTTGGCATCGTATTGACGCGCCACCTCCATCAGAGCCACGCTGATGCAGGGCCGTGCCAGCGATGTGCCCAGCAAATAGCGCTCCTCGTAGATGAGGCCCATCTGGATGGCCGGCCAGATGTAGTCCTCCACGAAAGACTGCTTCGCATCGACCACGATAACCTGAGGGTCGGAGAAGCAGTTAAAGATTTGTCCTCATCTCTGGGTTATCTCACCTTATTGGCGCCGATATTGAGAGCCTTCTTTTCGGCCGCTACAAAGTCCTCTTTCTGGCCAACATCAGCCAAGACACAGATGACGTTGTACTGCTGGTCCAGTAGCCATTTAAGAATGCAGCTGGTGTCCAATCCGCCGGAATAGGCCAAGATAACTGTTGCTCCAGTCATGTTCCGGTGATGTCTGCTCTCGCACTTGTGCCAATCTCTAACGGCGCGGCAATACTGAGAACCGTAGAGCTTCTCCGGCCTCCATTAAAGTGCAGGTAGTCAGTCTCTAATCGGAACCGACCTTATCAGCTGCCAAGGCATATTAGCGAATGGCGATAGCAGCTAATCTAAAAACTGTTTCAAAAGCAGTAGTTCCAAAAACCCATCCAAACCACAAAATGTAAGCAAACCGCTGGTGTGACCGTATACCGTATACGGTACTGTATCGTATAAAATCGTATATCGTTTCAATAAGGCCCTACTTCATATTCAATTTAGCTTTGGTCACATTGAACATATGTACGCTTTCAATTCGAGGAAAAAGGAAAACGCAAACCAAAAACTAAAATAAAATGAGTTTGTGTAAGTTTTTAGGAATTTGCTGGAACATACAAATGGATGCTAAGTTTTTTGATCATTCCCATAGACTCGGCGCTCTTCTGGACAGACCTCTTAAAGATGGTGCACAAAGCCAATTTAATTAAGGAGAATGCAGAGCTAAAACAGCAAATAAAAAACGATGTAAAGAAAACATTGCAGTGGAAATTCCCAAATACCTCGCTTCAGGTGAGATTGTTTGGCTCCCGCATAATGGGAGTGGGTGATTCCGAATCAGACCTCGATATATATTTAGTTATAGGTAAGTACTCCCCAATTTTTGTGTGTTCTCTTGATTATCTCTCCGTTCCCTGACAGGTAACTCTTCTGGAGTATATAACGAGAAGTTAACCCGGAAAGTACGTTTTAACCTTCGCACGATCGTAAGTGCGATCCTAGATAATAAAACTAAGTGGGAACTTACAGCCGTCCTAGATCGCACCTTTCCACTCGTCACTGTCCTCCATAAAGGGACAAACATTAAGTGCGACATAAACTTTCTGAACAGAATGTCTTGTGACCAGAACCAGTTGGTCAACTACATTTTTAAGCTGCAGCCCATTGGTGGGTGTTACCTAATGATCGACCAACGATGTGTTTAACTTCATTGTGATTCCTTTTCACAGCTCGCTACATGGTGATATTTCTGCGGGCCTGGTCCCAAAAACACGGCCTTAGCAGATGCTTTCGAAGCCATATCTTTATCTTGTTGGTGATTTTCTTCCTGCAAGTCCAGGGCCATCTACCAGCCATCAAAGATCTTCAGACTGACCTTGTTCCCAATGTTGCTCGTGAGTAGAAATGCTCTAGAAAATAACCATTTTATAAACTAAATATTTTCGTCTCCAAATCGCAGCATGGACATCAAACTTTCACGAATTTCCGTTGTCAAAGTTTGCTATGAAGGAAATTGGAGTGAACGAAAACAAAACTCGCCAGATCTTACACGAATTCTTCAAGTTGTATTCTACCTTTCCCTTTCACGAGCTGGTTGTTTGTCCCTATCTGGGAAAGCGTGTTATTCGCAAACAGCTAAAGGACTTAATGCCCCCATGGTAGGTTTTACAGATTGCACATTAAGTTATTTTAATATTATTTTTGGTTTAGTTTCAAGTATCCAGTCAAATCTCCGGTGTTCGTACAAGACCTGATACTCTTGAATCATAACAAGGGCTTCCAAATAAAGCAGCTGCAGATTTACGCGTTTCAAGACGAGTGCTGCGCTGAAATAGAAGATTATGATGATGATTATTATTAAAACATAAAAATTGATTGCACGTCCGTCCGACCGACGTAAGCGGCCACGCGTTCCGGTCTGGATTAACTCAAGACCCGTCTACAAATATTTTCACACACCACCAGATGGAATCATTTCTTTAGATTAAAATTACAAATATTCAAAAATCCATAATAAAATTGATTAACAAATGAGATTTAATTTGAATTAATTGCACTTGACCTCAACATCCGTACTAATTATTGCGGCTGTCAGTCTGAGAGGCAAGCGTCTCGCGGCCTTCCATTCCGGGAAGGAGGCGCCATTGACCCACAGCGGTCACGACTGGATGACCATGATGCGATTGAAAATTCAATTAATCTATGCTAAATCATTTACATACATTATAATCTAATTAGAGGGCCTGAAGCAGCTGGTATAAAAGGACCTGGCTCGTCCGGCAACGGAGAGGAGACCTCTGAAAATGCAGAACCACGTGCAGTTCCGTGTGGTCAGACTTCTGTTGCAGGCATCTGTGCTGCTGTTCGTCATCTGGCACCATTGTCGGGCCATGTAAGCTAGCCGAACATCGTAATCCTATTTAATGATTTATTTGATAATCTTTCCTTCCAGGGACCTTCAGACAAGGCCATGCCGAGAAGGCAGCGACGACATCACGCGATGTCCCAAAAGTTTTTTCACTCTGAGGAGGGACAACTGTGTGGAGCGACACTTTTGCTATCTGCAGGTGAATGAGACCTGTTTCGGCCAGGAGGAGAGTAGGTGTGCGCCTGGACTTACCTGTTCATGCAACAGGTGCATGAACTGCAACATCCACTATTGTGCCCTGGAACTCTGCACCCTACATGAGTATAAGAAACGCCTACCAAACCGCCTGCTGCCGTGGTTCAGACCTCGATGGTTGGAGCTGGCCGCCGACAAGTAACGTGACCCCAAATGTGCAAACAACCGCCAGTTGAACAATGGACCAATCCCTTCAGTCTCCTCATATGTTTATCAAAGTGTATCTAACAATTTGCAGCTATAAGCATTTAACAAATTAATCGCGAATAAATGACATGACCATCGTATTAAAAGCAGTACCCAGTACTTACTTTCTGTTAAGTAACCTTTTGATTTTTGTATCAATATACGCTTTTAATTTGGGAAATAGTAGGACTATTTTTGGCAGTCATCATTTAATAAAAATCTAATATAAAATAAAATAAAATGAGTCTGAGTAAGTTTTTAACAATTTGCTGGAACACAGATATAGATACTAGGCTTTCTGCATTCGCATAGACTCGGAGACCTTCTGGCAAAGCCTCTTGGAGCATGTGAGCATGGCCGATATCATTAAAGAGAACGAGGAGCTAAACAACCACATAAAAAATGATGTAAAGAAAACATTGCAGTGGAAATTCCCAAATACACCGCTTCAGGTGAGATTGTTTGGCTCCCGCATAATGGGAGTGGGTCGCTCTGAATCAGACCTCGATATATTTGTAGTTATAGGTAAGTACTATCATATTTTATATGTGTCTCTTGATTATCTCTTCGTTGCCTGACAGGTAACTCTTCTGGAGTATATAACGATAAGTTAACCCCGAACGTACATTTTAATCTACGCACGATCGTGAGTGCGATCCTAGATAATAAAACTAAGTGGGAACTTACAGCCGTCCTAGATCGCACCTTTCCACTCGTCACTGTCCTCCATAAAGGGACAAACATTAAGTGCGACATAAACTTTCTGAACAGAATGTCTTGTGACCAGAACCAGTTGGTCAACTACATCTTTAAGCTGCAGCCCATTGGTAGGTGTTACCTAATGATCGACCAACGATGTGTTTAACTTCATTGTGATTCCTTTTCACAGCTCGCTACATGGTGATATTTCTGCGGGCCTGGTCCCAAAAACACAGCCTTAGCAGATGCTTTCGAAGCCATATCTTTATCTTGTTGGTGATTTTCTTCCTGCAAGTCCAGGGCCATCTACCAGCCATCAAAGATCTTCAGACTGACCTTGTTCCCAATGTTGCTCGTGAGTAGAAATGCTTTAGAAAATAACCATTTTATAAACTAAATATTTTCGTCTCCAAATCGCAGCATGGACATCAAACTTTCACGAATTTCCGTTGTCAAAGTTTGGTATGAAGGAAATTGGAGTGAACGAAAACAAAACTCGCCAGATCTTACACGAATTCTTCAAGTTGTATTCTACCTTTCCCTTTCACGAGTTGGTTGTTTGCCCCTATTTGGGAAAGCGCATTTTTCGCCGAAAGCTAAAGGACTTAATGCCCCCATGGTATGTTTCACGGATTGCACATTTGGTTCTTTTAATATTACTTGTTGTATAGTTTCAAGTATCCTTTAAAATCTCCGGTGTTCATACAAGACCTGATACTCTTGGATCATAACAAAGGTCGGACTATAAAGCCGCATAATCTGTGGCACTTTCAGGACCAGTGCAGGAATATGGGTTATTGGAATATGAAGAAACCCCAATAGTACTGATTAAGACATAGCATCTGAATTAAAACATTTCAACTGGCTCTACGTCCGTCCGACCAACGTCTTTGCAACCACCAGAGGGAATAATTTTCTTTGATTATTATAAATATTCAAAATATCTAATAAAACTCTTTAAGAAACTAGATTTTATTTTAATTGATTACTTATGTATACTAGCTAACCCGGCAAACCATTTGTCGCAGTATTGTGAACTATTTCTGTTGCTCCAAACGATGTAATTTGGAAGCATGAATTGAATGCGCGATTGGACTTCCAGTACCGGTTTAAACAGGCAGTTGCTCCTTTCTGATGCGCAACACAAATCATTTGACTCATGTTTGAATTTGTGCGCATGACAATGCGGACATTCCTCGTCTATTCTACTTTCGGATGAGCGGAATATTATAAAATTTGGCTTGTACTTGAATTCGAGACAAAGAAACTATATAAACGTAGAGATTGTACCGAATAGGCAGATCTAGTAGTCCGAGGATTTTGATGACATGCCTTTATCGACTGGGAATGTTTAGTCTCTGCCCAGAGTCGTTTGAAACAACACCTCTAGAAATTATACACAAAACTCTGTGCATCCTATATTAGAACAAAATTAAATTAAAACTTATGTACATATGTATGTACATATATTGGTTCGTAATCCAAGCAGGCGTTGTTTTGCTATTTGATTTCAATATGTGCTTTTGCAATTGACAATTCAAAGGAAGCAGTAGTGCTGCCTAGCCTGTGAAAATAAAAAGAAAAGATAATAAATTATATTATTGATTTTGTTTGTTTGTTATTCATTTTGCTTGAATCCCCTTCATATGTTTGCTGCAGCTGCAGTGCTGCAATTTCGCCCAGGCTACAAATATAAAAGGTAAGGCATTTGGGCATAAATTGTTAGCCTAAAATGTTTGCCACCCACCCTCTCAATCACTCTTCCATGCACAAACGCATAGAGATACCACAGACGTGTGCTTGTATTTCTGCAAACCGCGGACCCTACCTATCGTTTATATACCTTTGTTTTGCCTATCGCGGCACGAGGCGTTTTGGTATATTTTAGCGCTTCTTTAAAACCTAAAAAACCTAAATGTGTGCAATTGCGTGGAAAAAACATATTTAACCAAAATAAAAGATAAAAACCATTGAAATGGACACTGCATCCGACAATAGCGACGATGAGGGGTCCATTGGCAATGGTGGGGGCGATTTTGGCATGGATCTAACCGGTATTCTCTTCGGTAACATTGACTCCGATGGCAGGCTGCTGGCGGACGACGAGAGGGGGCAGGGCTTTGATGCGGAGCTGCGTGAAAATCTTGGATCCCTGGCGAAGTATGTGTCTTGTAGTAATAAACATAAATATATGAACTTTAGCTAACGCTTGGCTTCAGGATGGGGCTGAATTCGTTGCTGCACGAGGTGATTGACACCAAAGATGCTGAAGCTTCCTCCTCCGACGATGAGGGCGAGAAGCAGCACGCCGCTTCGGATGCCAGCACCACAGCTGGTTTGAGTGTCTTCGATGCGTTGAAGGCTAGCGGGAAAAAAGGGGAAAACGAGGATGGCACCGTCACAGCTCAGGACGATGCCATCGATTACTCAGACATAACCGAACTCTCCGAAGATTGTCCACGCACGCCGCCAGAGCAGGTGTCATACGATGACGACCTAGAGGATGCCATACCGGCGTCCAAGGTTGAGACAAAGCCAAGTGAGTAATGCCCAAGGGCCCGTAATGGAGGAAGAGTCTCTGATGTGTCCATCCATATAGCCAAGGATGACAAGGAACTGATGCCGCCACCAAGTACTCCTCTGGGGCGGGTAGCTGGTGCCAGCGGGCCTGAAGAGGCCGTCGCCAAAATACCTGGCCCCGATGGCGGCGCTGCATCAGCCAGTAGTGAGCCCAAGGCCAATGGGGACCCCAAGGGTAAGCGCAAACATTTGTTAGTCTGTTAAGAGTGCGATTATGGATTGTGGTGTCCTTTCAAGACGACCGCAAACTGGACACACCCTTGGCCGATATCCTGCCCTCCAAATACCAGAATGTGGATGTCCGGAAACTCTTTCCCGACTTTCGGCCAAATAAAGTCTTACGATTTTCACGCCTCTTCGGTCCGGGGAAGCCAACAAGCATGCCCCAGATCTGGCGGCATGTCCGCAGGCGTCGAAGAAAACGGAACCAGTCGAGAGATCAAAAGGTACTGCTGCTGCATACCCCGAGCATGATTTGAGTGTTTTAAACATATCTCTCGCTTGCAATTAGATGTCGAACACGGGTGGCTCCGACTCCCCGAGCGACACCGAAGAGCCACGCCATCGCGGCTTCAGTTTGTTCTACGCCAGCGAGCCCACGCCCGCTGCTTGCATGTCCGATGATGAGGAGAAGCTGCTAAGCGACCTCAACCGCGTGGATGTGCGACAGGAGGGGCCCGATAATGGTGATAATAGCGATCAGAAGCCCAAGGTAGCGGACTGGCGCTTCGGACCGGCACAGATCTGGTACGATATGCTCGAGGTGCCCGAATCGGGCGATGGCTTCAACTACGGCTTCAAGATGAAGTCCACGGCTAACCAGTCGAAGGACACTGTCATCCCCGAAGACTCGGCCGTCGGAGGCAGTAGGCCAGAGGCAGTGGGCAGTGGTGGTGATAGCGAGAAGGCCCCCCTAGCGGAAGATGCCTTTCTGATGGTCTCCCAAATGCACTGGGAGGACGATGTCGTCTGGGATGGCAACGACATTAAGGCCAAGGTGCTGCAAAAGCTAAACTCTAAGACGAATGCTGCCGGATGGTTGCCTTCCAGCGGTTCCCGCACTGCAGGCGCCTTCAGTCAGCCGGGGAAGTCGTCGATGCCCGTGGGTAGCAGTGGCGGCTCCAAGCAGGGCTCCTCGGCAGCCAGCAAGAAGGCCCAACAGAAGTGAGTGCGAATCATGCAGAGAAGTACCAAATAAGCAATCGAAATTTCATTATATTTCATCCAGTGTGCAGAACAAACCCACCGAAGTGCCCGACGATACGTGGTACAGTCTGTTTCCTGTGGAGAACGAGGAGTTGATCTACCAAAAGTGGGAGGATGAGATCATTTGGGATGCCCAGCAGATGACCAAGGTGCCCAAACCGAAGGTTCTCACGCTGGATCCCAACGATGAGAACATCATATTGGGCATACCCGACGACATTGATCCCTCGAAGATCAACAAGAGCATTGGGCCGCCGCCAAAGATCAAGATACCGCATCCGCATGTCAAGAAGTCTAAGATTCTGCTGGGCAAGGCGGGCGTTATCAATGTACTGGCAGAGGATGCACCACCGCCGCCGCCCAAGAGTCCTGATCGGGATCCCTTCAACATATCGAATGACACGTGAGTGTGGGCAACCAAAGAAACCATAGCAATCTTGAATACTTATTTGGTTTTGTTCCTCAGTTACTACGCACCCAAGACGGAGCCATCGACCCTACGTATGAAAGTGGGTGGCGGGAATCTTATCCAGCACTCGACGCCAGTGGTGGAGCTTCGGGCTCCCTTTGTGCCCACGCATATGGGTCCAATGAAGCTGCGCTCCTTCCATCGGCCGCCGCTAAAGAAGTACTCGCATGGGCCGCTGGCCCAGGAGACGCACCAGAATGTCTACTCCCTGCTGAAGCACATCGTGAAGAAGGCCAAGCAGCGTGAGGTCGAACGGATAGCCTCTGGCGGTGGTGATGTCTTCTTTATGCGCAATCCCGAGGATCTCAGTGGCAAGGATGGGGACATTGTCCTCGCCGAGTTCTGTGAAGAGCATCCGCCGCTGATGAACCAAGTCGGGATGTGCTCCAAGATCAAAAACTACTACAAACGGAAAGCGGAAAAGGATAGCGGACCGCAGGATTATGTTTATGGTGAGGTGGCCTTTGCCCACACCAGTCCCTTCCTCGGGATCCTCCATCCGGGGCAGTGCATCCAGGCGCTGGAGAATAACATGTACCGTGCACCCATCTACCCGCACAAGATGGCCCCAAATGATTTCCTCATCATTCGCACCAGAAACAACTACTGGATACGGGCTGTCACGGCCATTTTCACCGTGGGACAGGAGTGTCCCCTGTACGAGGTGCCGGGACCAAATTCGAAGCGAGCCAACAACTTTACGCGTGACTTCTTGCAGGTGGGAATCCCGGACTTTGTTTGACTGCTCCTCCCTAAGCCACTCTGCCTTCCTTGCAGGTTTTTATCTATCGCCTATTTTGGAAGAGTCGCGACCAGCCCCGGCGCATCCGCATGGACGACATCAAGCGCGCCTTTCCCGCGCACTCGGAGAGCAGCATTCGAAAGCGTTTGAAGCAGTGCGCGGATTTCAAGCGCACAGGCATGGACTCCAATTGGTGGGTGATCAAGCCTGAGTTTCGGCTGCCCTCCGAGGAGGAGATTCGGGCAATGGTCTCCCCGGAGCAATGTTGCGCCTACTTCAGCATGATTGCTGCCGAGCAGCGTCTAAAGGTAGGCAACCTTTTCCCTCAAAAGAGTCTTAAACTTATTTTTCCATCCCGTTTTAAAAGGATGCCGGCTATGGGGAGAAATTCCTGTTTGCCCCTCAAGAGGATGACGATGAGGAGGCCCAACTGAAGCTGGACGATGAGGTGAAAGTTGCACCCTGGAACACCACGCGTGCCTACATCCAGGCCATGCGTGGCAAGTGCCTGCTGCAGCTGAGCGGCCCCGCCGATCCCACGGGTTGCGGTGAGGGCTTCTCGTATGTGCGAGTGCCCAACAAGCCAACAGTAAGGATTACAAGCCACACTCCCATCCCGTATCTAATAATCTTGTATCCGAAATAGCAAACGAAAGAGGAACAAGAATCGCAGCCAAAGCGTTCGGTGACGGGCACCGATGCGGATCTGCGTCGCCTGCCGCTGCAAAGGGCCAAGGAGCTGCTGCGCAAGTTCAAGGTGCCCGAGGAAGAGATCAAGAAGCTCTCCCGCTGGGAGGTCATCGATGTAGTGCGCACTTTGTCCACGGAGAAGGCCAAGGCCGGCGAGGAAGGCATGGACAAGTTCTCGCGTGGCAATCGCTTCTCCATCGCCGAGCACCAGGAGCGATACAAGGAAGAGTGCCAGCGCATCTTTGATCTGCAGAACCGCGTTTTAGCCAGCTCTGA